TTTGTTATTTTTGAAGCCCTAAGTGTCCAGGACCACTCCAGAAGCTATAAATACCCCCTTTAGGTCATTCTAAAGGAGGTGTTCTTTTCTGTACTTATATTTTCGTGTGAGGCTCAAAACCCTAGAGAGAGAGGCCGCCACCCTTGAAGGAAGACATCGCGCCTCCATCTGCTTCTCCGTTCTTCGTTTTTCTTCCCTCTTTTCTTTAATTTCCTGCAACTTTCAATACTCTGTGATGATTGTTTACAATATGTTTGAGTAGTTACCCAGTTGGGTTTAAAGGGATTTTTTCAAAGGGAATTTCATGTGTCTTTGACTATGAATCGATAGATTTAGGATTATTAATCTTCTAGATGTTCTTCGTTTGCCTTTAATCTTACTGCGTGATTCTCTGCTGGCCACTTAGAAGCCGATCTGATATGATATGTTGCGAAAGCTTTCATTGATTGTCTGAACTAGTGTGAAACGAGCAATTCTTCTATAGGAGTGGAAACCTACCTGTAGTTGAGTTGTGAATGTTGATGAGTCTTGTCCTGCTATTGCATCTTCTCCCTTCTAGGATCAGAGTGAAAACCTACTGATCAGGGTTGCGAGAGATAGTTGTTTAGTGCTGCGAAAGTAGGCTATTCATACTTCTGTGCCTCGAGTTCTAGAACATACGTAGTTGATTACCTTTATCACTTGTTTAAAATCGACATAGCTTAGTCCATGAACCCCTGCAAATACCCCTTGAGCCCCATTGTTTGTCTTTAATTGCTTACAACCTTCGATTTAGTTTTCTTTTCATTCGCTTGTTCTTTGTTTCAAATCGCCTCTTGTTTAATCGCCTACTACTTGCTTTCGTTTGCTTTCGTTTTTGTCAATTGCTTTTCAGTTTTTAATTGCTTTCTAGTTTAGATTTCGTGACAACCAAAACCCAAAACCAAAATCAAATCCTGTTTAGTTCTAGTCTGATTTAAGCATAGCCTTGAATTCGTATTGAAACAACTAAGTCTTTGTGGATCGATACCCTAAGTACTACAGCGCACATCTGTGCACTTGCAGACATTTAGGGGTTATAAATTCAAAACTTGAAGCTTAGTAAAACGAAAACAACAACCCCGCTTTTACACTCGCATCACCCCCCCCCCCCCCACCCAAATCCCCGGTTGGGAGGCTCCATGGGGAAATGGTTTGGGAGGGGGTTTCCCCCACAAATTGGAGGAGGATAACAAACGGAATGGCCAAAGCTTTT